AGGGAAATTCATAGCAGTGAATACACATATTAGGAAAACAGAGCAAGCTCAATTACACAATCTGATGCTTAACCTCAAGCTTCTAGAAAAAGAAGAGAAGGACAAAGCCAAAGCTCGTACAAGGGAGGAAATTATAAACATCAGAGGAGAAATCAATGCAATGGAGACTGAAAGAATGATACAAAAAACAGTTGGTTCATAGAAAGAGTAAATAAAATTGACAAATCCTTAGACAACCTTATCAGAAAAACGAAAGAAAAGGTCCAAAATCCATGCAATTAGGAATGAAAAGGGTGAAATTATAAAGGATCCAGCAGAAATCCAGAGGATCATCAGTACCTGCTTCCAGAACCTATATGCAAATAAGATGGAAAACACAGAAGAAATGAACAGATTTCTAGATACATATGAATTACCAAAGTTGAACCAAGAAGACCTAAAAATTCTAAACAACCCAATAACAATCAATGAAATTGAAAATGTAATTAAAAACTTACCAACTAAGAAAAGCCCGGGTCCTGATGGTTTCACCACTGAATTCTACAAGACCTCTACAGAAGAACTAGTGCCACTACTGTTTAAACTCTTCAACCAAATTGAAAGGGAAGCAATACTCCCAAATTCATTCCCACAAGCAAGCATCACCCTGATCCCCAAAGCAGAGAAAGAACCAATCAAAAAAGAGAACTATAGCCCAATCTCACTAATGAACATACATGCAAAAATCCTGAATAAGATACTGGCAAATAGAATGCAGAACATCATCAAGAAGATCATACACCCTGACCAAGAGGGATTCATCCCAGAGATGCAGAGATGGTTTAACATACTCAAATCAATCAATGTAATACACTATGTCAATAGAGCCAAGGACAAAAACCATATGATCATCTCAATACATTCAGAAAAAACATTTGACAAAATCCAACATGCATTTATGATAAAAACCCTACAAAAAATTGGTCTCTACCTCAATCTGATAAAAGCTATCTATGAAAACCCAACAGCCATATATCATACTAAATGGTCAAAAATTGAAATCCTTCACACTAAAATCAGGAACAAGACAAGGATGTTGACTATCAACACTCCTGTTCGATATAGTTGGAAACATTAGCCACAGCAATTAGGCAAGAGAAAGAAATAAAAGGAATAAAGATAGGAAATGAAGAAGTCAAATTGTCATTATTTGCAGGTGACATG